ATTCGGGACATAATTGAGGCAGGCTAGATCAGTCATGATCGCAGCCGGTACAAGTACAAACCCCTAGAATTCTGAACAACGCCTGAGGAGTTTTTTTACTGTCTGCCCTTCTTACGCAGTTCCATTACTGGCAACGCCACATGTTCTGCCTCATAGCTGCTCTGTACCAAGAGGGAGTTCAAAGGTATTTTCCTATATCTCCCTTAATAAACCTGACCTGACCTGGAAATAACGAGGCGATGATCAGCGGGAACGTTTGTGGCTGATTTTCGACATGCGTAGGTGGCCTTCAGTAGATGTATTGATAGCCCACTATATGTGATGTAAATTTACGCTGATGAGATTGCTGGTGAGGAGCGGCATAATGATGCGGTGTAACCGGCGGCATTTTACCGCAGGTTTTCCTGAGGGCGTGTAAGGCCTATAGGCCCATGCGATGGATGAATACGCATGGGCAGTGCAGACAGTGAAGGCCAGTGTTGCGACTATATGTCGGTTTATGTCACTACACCCACAGCACGGAAGCGGACCTTGAATTTACGACCGAGGACACAAAAATATTAGTGGTGGTTAGCAAAAAAAATGGATACCTTAAACAGCTTCCCCAGTAACTGACATGTTGATCCGCCTCCTGCCTATCACGCAATGCGCTCGCACCGTCAGATGACACGTCAAGAGGGTAAACAGACGAAGGGCTGCAAAACATAGCTACTTCCGTGCAATTTTTATTTTTCTTATTGTCCCTTGTGATGGATCCCTGCGCTCCTCAGAAATCTTGGTTGCGATTATGAACCTCTCGTCTGCATTTCAGTCGCACATTAGGCACACGTGATTTATGCAGGACACTTCGTTAATGCCTTCGAACCTCAGAAGTTATGAGTAAATTGGATCGACCCGACTTCTCACGTGCTCATTCCTTCTTCGTAAGATCGCTTTCTACGAACCGCTAATGATTCGGTTTTCCTCGACAGCTTTTAAGGTATTGACGCCCCTCCGAATGGCTTTTTCGGCCACCGACGGAGCGTGCTCCTCACTCCCAGTCTCTCAATTCCTGACTTATTCGCTGGTTTCTTTGTCGTTGTTTTGAATGTACCCATGCCTGTTACTAAAGACTGCCTCTATATGAGTTGCATTGAGTTTTCTGTGTAGCTTTTACGCACTTCAGACAATTAAGTGCATTTTCATTAACACCTCATTACATGTATTTCAGCTCTACCTCTCTCTCCTAATCATGTTGACAATGCGGTGGAATCTATTCTTCAATCTACCTGGTACGTACCGATTGTTTTATCTTTCGTTATCAGGTGTTTGAACGTCCGTAATATTGTCTGTAGAATAACCTTACCGAGGGAACCATAAGACAATGGCATGGCTAATTAGCTTTCACCAGTTGACCATACCTAACTCCATGGATAAGGTTGAAGTTTTGTCGAGCACCGGATCAATTTGCTTATTCTCCTGAGCTTTTGAACTCTTACAGGAGTCCATCTTCGCAGACAAAAAACAGCAACTAAAAGAGGAGGGGGGCAATTATAGTGGTATACGCAAATTAACTGTCAGTTATAGTGGTGTACGCTAATTAACTGTCAGTGAAGTCAGGGGGTCGTCCAGAGTTATAAACAGCAATTACTGTAGCGTCTTGTCTCCACGGTAGAGGGTCCTGGTAATCCAGCTTCCTCTTCAGGCGGGTTCGTCAGGGGGATCGTTTTCGCTTGCACTTCTTAGGTTTGCTTTGGTCTTGTTCTGTCTTTTACTTTCGTAATGGCGTACTCAACTTACTCCAAATTTTGCAACGCCTGAGGCTCTAATCTGCGACCGGCTGGTTAGAAGTTTGATGCTCCAACTCTTGCGCCATGGGCTCTTCCTACCAGTTGCACTCCCGCATGTAAAAAGTGGTAAACGAGCGCTAGCCGATCACGTTACGGGAAATGCTGGTCCCGTTTAGCTTTGGGTCCACCCTCGAGCCCCGACAACCGGCGTACAACTGCTAGTATGATAGGCAGAATAAGATTGCCGACAAAGATAAGGGAGACTGACTTATTGGCCCTACCCAACCGCAGGGCTTTTTGTAATCCCCGAGGCTCGAACCCACGACGTTATTGTTAGGATCCCAACAGTCTCCAAATCTGGGTGGGGGGTGTGTCTGATAATGCCTAATAAGTCGGAAACGGCCATTCTAGTCTCCCATGTTTTTGTCAGTGATGTTATTGTGCTCTGTGGCCGCTGGCGGGAACAAAATGTCTCCGAAAGCGATTGGTGAGCGCCCCTCCGTTAATATTGCCTATTTTTTTCCGCAAATCATCTGTTACAGTGTCCCGCTTTCATCCACTGAGTGCAGCCGTTTTTCGTTTTAACGGCGTTTATGACATGAAATTAATTTCTTCCCACCATAATACGCAGAAGATGAGTGCGAAACCTTTGCACACTGAGTGAGATAGACAGGAAGCTCGCAGTCTTTTTTAGGAAGAGTTGACTGTTTTTAAAAATAAAACCATTGCGTTTTCATTCGTCATAATTTCTTGCATTTTCAAAGATTTTCTAAAAAGTAAGCTTTTCTGAACCACTTTTATGTTGAGGCACAAACTTATGAGTTTTTTTTTTTTTCATTGTCCGGCCATCGATTTCTTGTGTTAACACCTCCATGCTTTGTTGTGATAGTTTATGAGTGCTTGCGCAAGACTGCAATCTATGGGTAACTCTAATTTACTATTTTTTTCTGTTCTACTGTAGAGCGTGCCCTTATTGGTCGAATTATAACTTGTTTTCAACCTATTGGCCGTAAACACAACGTGTTCACCTCATGAAATTCTGAGGGTAGTTAGCTCCTCCGAGAGGATGACTCTTGTCTAACTGTTTTTGTACTTATGTAACTGCCTAACGAAAAGCAGGCATCTCATTGATTATTTGAGCTCTTTGTGTCTTCAACGCATCTATAGAAGACGTTTCACCAATTTTGCTTGGAAGTATTTTTGAGAAGGGATGCCCTGCTACTGACGTACACTGTAACGCGTTTCTATCTTCAATTTTAGCTTATTTCCATCTAACGAGGACATCGATATATGTCTACTGCGTATTTCTTCTGGTCGTCTATTCTACATCGCTCTTCGGCGGAATAGCTTTTGTCTCGGGACAAACAAACGGCCTTTGGTTGGTCCCTCCTGTTTTTAACCGTTTACATCTCTGTGCACTTAGTTGTCAAGCCTGGTTTAAAAATATTATGAAGAAAACCGATGATGAGTCCTCCGTGTGTTGTTTCCGTTTTCTCTCCCTCCCTCCCTTCTTATTGAACTCAGAAAGTAGGCTTTTGGGCTTAATACACTATTTATTCTCGAGGAGTCAAATCAATGTCGGCATCCGGGAGTTTTGATCTTTGCAAATGGCAACTGCTACCACCACCGTTTCTGAGGATGACTGGCAGTTTGCGTATAAATTGGATTATAGTGAGAAGTATCTACTGCAGTTGTCGATTATGCGTTAGATATGTCTCGGTACTGCCCTGGCAGACCCATCAATTTTGACTATACTGTGCACTTCCAAAGCTTATAATTGGGTAGTGGTAAGGTTCACTTGTCTCCAGGGGCCAGATTTCTGACCTGACACTAGCAATGCATGAAGCTGAGACAAGCTTGTAGACCTTTCCTTATTTTATCTGCCGCTTAATTCCCACTCTTGGTTTGGTGAAATTATAGGTCGACTGTCGATCTGGGTGATGTCCATTGTGTGCTCCACAATAGAGTTGCGCCAGAATGGTGACTATGCGTTGGATTATAGTAAGAGTAGATTTTCGCAGTATCTACCTCGCTGACTTATCCCTCAGCCACCTGGGTCCAGACGGCTGGCGCGACCAACACTCAACACGCGTGCTAACGGCACATCGCGCTAGGTATTCTCCCGACAGGGAGCGCCATAAAGGCCACATTAAGAAGGAGCAGACAGCAGACAGCCAATACACAAAAAGACACACTGGACCGACTGCGGGGTCCGAGTTACCTCGCCAGCTGGCAACCCTCCAAGCCACGGCTTTTAGCGCACCGCGATAGTTTCAAGCGCATCAGATTCATTATAATGAGGAAGGAAACGCGCTGATGGTCTACCTCGCTTTCTCCCTCACTGCCACCAACAGGCCACCGCCTAGCTGTCATCCGTCTGAGGTGGGATGGGCGACACACACTCACCGGAGTTTACACGACCAGCTAATTAGAAGTATCCATCGCCGTCTGACTCTCAGTCCACTCATCAGCTACTTAACACAAAACACACACTGGGCCGATGGTGTGTCCGGTAAATTCGTCAGCCTTCCGAACTACAACTAGTAACCTGTCGGGATAGTTTAAAATCGCTTTGGTTACGAACTGGGTCGATCCCTTTTCTCGTCTAGCCTGCTGGAGTTGAGGGTGAGCTCAATGTCTGGTTTGACACACGGCTTATGTCGTGCGTGCACAACGCGCAAGTGACTTTCAACAACTTGCGAGGAAACACAAATTACTTCTTGTGAATTGATTTGACAAGTGTCTTCATGCTTACTCATTAAACTTACTGATACGTCATGTGAAGATGGTCAGCACATAGTATCCCCAGTGTATCATACGAATCCGGGGTAATTGGACTTGTCTTCAGTAGGGATTCATATTGTCACCTTTTTCTAATTGTTACTGCCCCATGTTCCATAATTTTTGAAGGCGCGTCACATTGTACAGTGAACGACTGCCGAAAAGGACCAGGGAAACTGAAGACCTATTTCTGGCTTATTAGCCGTCATCGACCAGTCATACACAACCCCTGGGTTTACAACCCCGAGACTCGAAATCGTGTTCTGATGATTGAAAGTTCGACGTTCTAACCATTAGACCATTGTCATTTCGGTTGCGCTGGAGAATACCAACTATGGTAGAGGCCACTCACAGATCACGTTGGGAACGTTTAACTTCTGACCAACAGGACACGGGTTCTAGCCTTGACTGACAAAGGTCAGTAATCAGAAAAGATCACCGGATTTTCTCTTGTCCTTGTTGGCAGGCATTCTCTGTCTATATTAGTAGTGACTGTACGACTATGTACCGAGCTGTCGAGCGAGCCCTTAAGCATTCTCTGCATATATTAGTAGTCGCAGTACGACCGCGTACGGAGCTCTAAATCGAGCCGCTAGACAGAACGGGG